GAATATCTTTATTTAAAATTTATCTCATCTCCTTACATCATTTTATTTTTTTAAAGTGAATATTAGAGAATAATTAATAGCTAATAGGCATGATACTATTATTTTAATCACCATAAAATTTCTTTTCTTTGATATGAGGAGTACTGATGTTGTTTCTACACAATTAAATTAGCAATTATCAAATATTGATTGTTGACATGTTTATAAAGAGAGTTGCGATTGTGCTATAGTCATACAACAATGTTGTATATTTGACATGGGATAATTTCTAGCTTAATTAAATAATAATAATAATAATAAATATTATTTTCAATATTTACAAAGAAAAAGATGTCAACTTTCTAGCTCCTACTAAAATTATTATTAAAATATAGAATTCACAGTACTTGAGTTTTGGTATTTTCTTTTGATTATTATGTAAAAAAACAAAAATGAATCCTAATTTTTTAATACACATAAATTTTATATTTGGTTAGTGTTTCCGGATTAAAAGAATAGATATAAAAATAAAAATATAAAATAAATTTAGTTATATATAATTTTAGAGTTGATTTTTAGATTCTTAAGATATAAAATATAAGATAATTTTCCCCACATGATTTACCTTGAATTTCGTGTTGTATTCATTTTCTACCCCTTGATCAATCTTCTTCTCTGGTTCATAGCATGTAATTGCCTACACTGGATCCTCACAAGAGGTGTATGGAGCCAAGGCAACCATTAACGTGTGGGGTCCAACAATCCAAGTGGCCAATGAGTTCAGTCTATCACAGATCTGGATTCTCTCGGGATCGTTCGACGGCTCTGATCTCAACAGCATAGAAGCTGGGTGGCAGGTATCTCCTGTGCACACTATTTCAATTATAATTAATTACTATATTTTCTGTGGATTAATAAATGGTTTATATATATTAATTATATGTTTAATTAATGGGATTTTCTGAAGTAATGATTTTATTCTACTAGTCAGGTCAGTCCGGAGCTTTATGGTGACAGCAGGCCCAGATTGTTTACTTATTGGACGGTAAGATCTCTCATCATATTTAATTCTCAATTACTAATTAATTCTAATTTATATTTTTGTTTATTTAGCAAAACAAAAAGAGACGAAAGGAAAATTACTAAAAAATATAATTCAAAGGTAGGGTGGAATTTGTAGTGGCCTGTGAGGCTCCACAGTTTTTTTTTATGAAAATTATTTGGAATAAAAATTTTATTATTAATTTCATCGAGATTTAAAAAATTAAGAATGATTATTTTTAATTAGTTTAAATTTTATTAAAAAATAATCAAACTGAAATATTTTTAACAAAATAAAACCGAATCAAGACAGGTTAAAATCAGCTAGTTTTTGTTCGGTTTAGTTTTTTTAAAAAAAAAAATTTGTTGAAATTATTTTTGTTCAGTTTTTTAGGTTTAACTTAATTTTTTTGTTTTAACTCGATATTTTCAAATTTAACTTGATTTTTTTTTGTTTTAGTTTGGTTTGATTTTTTAATTTTAAGCATATAAAACTAAAACCGAAGCAGTTAATCTTTTTTAATTTTAATCTATTTAATTAATTTTTTTTCACGATTATTTTTTTTTTCAGTCTAATCAATTTTTTATTTTTTTACCCATCCTTAATGAAAAATCCATTGATAAATTCAAATAAATAAAAACTCGACAATTCTCTCTTCTCCTGTTTCTTCCTTTCTTTTTGTAAACATAAAAAAACCCGACAATTAACATTTCTGTCTTCCAAGCTCTAGTGGAAGATAGTTTTCCAATCTGATAGGTTTGGGAAAGAAAGAACCCTAAAATGACAGTCATTATTTTAAATATGTATCTTGCAGAGCGATTCATATCAAGCAACAGGGTGCTACAACCTTCTTTGTGCAGGATTTGTGCAAACCCATAACAGAATAGCCATTGGAGCTGCCATTTCTCCTGTATCATCATACACAGGCAACCAATATGATATCAGCATCCTCGTTTGGAAGGTACGAGCATATTAGTTCTTGCTTCGTAATTGATTAATAATATTTGAAAAAACAATATTAAAAAAATATTAAAAATATAGATAATATTTTAAGTATTTTGAATTAACAGCATATCAAATTCAAGAAACTTGAATCAAAGATAGTTGGGTCTAATGACAATGCCAGAACTAAATTTATTGGATTTGATATCTATGACAGAACCTAAAGTATTGAGATTGACATTGTTGTTAGACCTAATAACCTTGGGTAATGTTTGTTGTAATAAAAGCCTCATATATTTCCTTAAATTTCATGTTAAGAAATAACAACCCATCCAACCAAACCAATATGTAGTTTAATTAGCTGATAATAATGCTTCTTTTCGTCTTCCTCGTAAGATAACTAGAGAGTTTGAACCTCTCATTTATGTAACTTAATATTTAGAACTCATTGCATTTAAATTTCTTGCACATTCTACTTATTGCAAAAACTTATTTGTCTAATTAGCTTTTTTTATTTTATTGTTTTAACTCTTCTTCTTCTTCTTCTTCTTCTTTTTTTGGGAATTAGGATCCAAAGCTAGGTAATTGGTGGATGAGTTTTGGTGACAACACCCTAGTAGGATACTGGCCAGCTGAGCTATTTACACACCTAGCAAAGCATGCCACCATGGTGGAATGGGGCGGCGAGGTGGTGAACTCAAGGGCCAACGGCAAGCACACATCGACACA